TGACACAATGGCTACAACAGCTGGCTCAAACATAGCAATAATTGTGAGGATGGACAGGATGGAGCAGTGTTTTGTTCTGTTGTACACAGGATTGCTGTGAGCCAGAACCGACTCAACAGCACCTACCAACAGCAACGTATGTATATACCACATTTTATTTATCCATTCATCTGTTGATGAACACGTGGCTTATTTCCACCTTTCAGATCTATTTTTAACTTTACTTAAAATATACAATCTTTGAGCCAGAGATTCATTATTTTGCCTCAAATTATTTGATTAATTATCACAATTTCTTATTTACCCTCTCACCTGTCTTGAAGGCAATTATGTAAAAGAAAACACATCTTGAGCCTCAGCCTGTTTCATCACACTTTCTAGAGCATACCACCTCTTCCTCTCCCCCTCTCTGCCTCCTTTTTAAAGACTATCCAAGTAGTCACCCCAGCAGACTGCCACACGGCATGACTGTTCCTTTAATTCCAGCCATCACTGCTGTCCACTGATCGCCATGGCTAATCAGATGGTATGACAGTCTGCACCAATCATTAAGGTGACCCAAATTAACAGCCTGGTCATGTCACAGTACATTCATTCCACATATACAGTCATGGCCTAAGTGTCAGGCAGAAACCCGGATGTGCTTGTGTATGTGTGTAACATGCATTATTGATTGTCATGAACTGCTCTGGTGCTTTAAATCTGCAAATTAGAATCATCTATCATTTACTACAGCCAGAATTGGGATCTGAGGTCAAAAGAGAAAGGCTAGACACCATTCTTTACCCGCAGTTCCTTTCATTTGCCTTTTTCTTTGGCAGTTATTTGTTCCCCAGTTTTTCTTTCTTTCTTTCTGCCTTTTTTTTTTTTTTTTGGTTTTGGTTAAAGAGATGCTTAGTCTGAATGGTTTTAAATCCTGAAAAGAGAAACGAATCTCTCCTAGCAAGGTAATAGAGGTAATGCAGGCTCTGAATTGTGAGTTCATTGTGGGACTTTTGTAATTCAATTTCCTAGTGTATACTGATTGGTAAAGCCCAGTTCTTAATACAGGACAGGCAGCCTTATCTTAATCACAGTTGCAGTTGTTGGGACCTTTGCAATGCCCAGTGTAAATGATCCCCCCAAATATTTGCATTCTTGATAATCATTTTCCTACAATGCATTATAATAATTAAAGGGCCCTATTACCTGCTAAGTGTTAGTATAAATTAACAATCCATTATGCACAATAAGTTTTATAAAACATTTACAGATAAGAGATCATGTTTAATTAAAATTAACTTGCATATGAAAGCCAAGTGCACTAATGATTTACAATGACCTTTTATTACCTGCAGTCCCTTGTTTTGGCTGGATGATTGACAGCTTGCTGTTTGGCTACCATGTTGAATTTCAGCTGACAAGACTTTTCATTTTAACTCAATTTGCCCGCCTATCACAAGCTGGTGGCAGGCCAGACCCAAGTCACCCAGCTTTGCCTCGGCAGCTTGCTCTAGTTCTCATTAGTACGCATTTATTCAGTGGAAATTGGAAGACAAATGCTTGAAGGCATGTGAACTAAGTATAGCAAATTAGGTTTAAAGACTGAATATTTATAAGTATATGGAAAGTTGTTTTTTTTTTTTTTTTTTAATTCTAGAGCAAATTGAAGAACTGAGTGCTAGCGTTGGTTTAAAAGAAATGATGATAGAAAGGGGAAGTTTCTAAGAATAACAATACTATAAGCTTTTTCTTTTCCATTTTGGAAATATGTACAATCTCTCTGACAACACCTTATCAAATAGCAACCTGGCTTCTCTTTCTTGGAGTGCTTGCACAATAAAGTTTAGCACCTCATGTGTGAGAAGGGGGAAGAAAATGAGGGTCATGTTCATTTGTTGTTTGGTTATCCCTTGGTATGTTTTAAATTGCCTTGTTTGTTCGGCACTAGCATAGAAACAGATGTTGCTCTACCGTGCAAGATAATTTACTGTACCTCCTGGTGCAGCATGGAAGCCCTCCCAGGGCCCAGCTGGTCTGTCAGTGGCATTGGCTGGTGTCTGCTCAACTATGACAACTACAAGTAGAGTCTGCAATGTTTTATTGTGCAGTTGTCATTCTTCTCAACATATAGCTCTGCCCACGTTCGTGCTGGGGCTAGTGGAAAAGCTGCTTGCTTTTGTGTCTGTATGTTGCACCGCAGTTCCACCCAAGCCCCACTCCTCATTGTTGATAATAATGCAACTCATTATTTTTGTCATCTAATGATTATCGGCATGATCGCTCAAAGCAAGAGCCAAGCCTGCCTTGCGTGCCTAACTGGTACTGGAAGGTGAAACGGATTTGTCATTTACGATCTGACCACTAAGCCACACTTTGTGCTCCATTATTGTGATTAACTTCTGCATAAGATATGCTTGCCCAATTGTCATTTGTGATACTGCAGTGGGCACAAGCTGCCATGCTTTCTGCAAGATCGTCAACCAATAGGATGTGACCATGTTATTCAGACTGTTAAATGCCTGCCCTTTCAAAGCAGCCACCCCACAATTATTTTGCTTTTGTATTTCTTCTCCCCACACCCTACTGGACTTGTTGAGTGAACAGTGCTGCTGCATATGTCAGCAACCATTTCATACCAAAACGAAAATGATGCTCTGCTATTGTTTATGCAACAAAGGCAGCCGTTGTCCATGGGATGCTGACCCTTCCTTTGCACCATAGAAATTTTGGTTGCTGGTGAGCTGCCAGTTGAAATTCATTGTGCCATGTTCCTTGTGGCTATCTGCAGTGGTTTCCATGTTCCAAAACCAAAGTTCTTTTCTGGCCTCATCACCAACATGCCAACTTGACTCTGCCTGATTATAGTAACAAAGGCAGTCCAAAAGAATATGCACAGCCTCACTGTACGTCACATTGAATCACCACACTGGCCACACAGAGCTGGCCACAGCCTCATTTCTTTAGACAAATGCATGCTTAAGGAAAAACCCCCTGTGAGAAGGCACTGGAGCCGCTGATATCCCTTTGCAAACTGGGCATAGCCTTAAATTTTAGCAAACTAGCATTTATCTTTATTTTTTGGCTGATGCAAGCCTTCACTGAAGACCTTACATCTAATAATCTAATAATTGTTGGGTACTCTGTGTTTTAGAGCGTTGCTGACTACTGAGGCTGTGTGTGTGTGTGTGTGTGTGTGTGTTTCTCAATTACAAGCCATAAACACAACCATTTGTTATAATGTGAAGGGGGGAAAAAACCCTCAATTTGGAGCTTTTTCACGTTGCTGATTAGAAAGAATCAAGCTCTATATTCTAGGGCCCATTCATGCTGGTGGAAACATAGTCAGTTTTGATTATGAAGAGAGAGATGCAGACCTAGACAGGGGCTACATGCTGATATGCATGCTATCAGAATGATTTATGCAAATTATGCATATTATTCCCAAAGGAATTCCTCCTCAAACTGCCAGGATAAATTGCCGGAAATTAGCCATAAAATCTGTCGTGCTAGGAGCAAAAGGTGAAGGCCACTGGGAAAGCAAGGACATTCGGCTTCTGGAATCTTCCAGGAGATGATGGTGGCTGTTATTTTCCCTGAATACTGAGGAAAATATCATTTTCTCCTGAAGCTTATAAAAGTATTTTCTCTTTGAAATTTTTCCAGCAAATGCTCACTCATATTTTATTTACAGCTAGCATAAAAGAAATTAAGTGTTAAGCTGTCTCAGAAGCACTACTACAATTACTTTACTATTAACTGCCTAAGTGGTTATTAAATGGCTAAGCCTGGCTTTAAAGGTGTCACTGTTCTGAAGGTTGGTGAAATAACCCACTGTTCTGAAGGTTGGTGTAATTTCCGATGTGTATACCCATAACACAAGCACCCTTCTCTTTCAGACCATACTTTCCTACAAAAATCCTAATTAATGATTTCCGGCCCGAGCACAGTGCTGCTGCCTCCTGACTGTGAATCACCTGCAAGCTTAGTTGGAACAGGTGCCACAGCTGTCTCCCTACAGCCCCGCCTCACTCTTCCAGCCCCCACACCACTCTATTGATGTTCCACAGATATGATTAAGAACATTTTTCCTTTGAAATTAAGGCTATTGGTAATGAGCTTTAATAGGAAGTAGAGAGTACTTTTCAGGAATTAAAAAATAAACCAACAAAAAAAATCCATTGCTGTCAAGTCATTGCCGTCACGGCGACCCCATGTGTTACAAAGTAGAACTATGCTCCATAGTGTTTTCATGACTGTAATCTTTGTATAAGTAGATCACCAGATCTTTCTTCTAAGGCATCTCCAGATGGATTTGAGCTACCAACCTTTAAGTTAGTAGTTGAACACAAACCATTTACACTAACTAAGAGCTCTGGTCTCGGGGCCGACTCGACGGCACATAACAACAACAACAACAACAACAAGAGCTCTGGTAGCATAGTGCCTAAGGCACTTTACTGCTAACCAGAA